GCCAAGTGAGCTCAGTTGTACCCGTGGTGAAGCCCCTATAAATTGTCCCTTTGGGGAAATACATGTCTACTGACTTTGGGGGAAATTGCAGCAGCATTCTTAGCAGCAGCTGTGGTCTTATTTCTAGTAATGAGTCAAAATTAGGGGAACCCCACTGCCTGGAGGTCATTCGTAGAGTCTATGGCTTGTGAACCATGCTCTGTATAGCCAAAGATGTTATGGAAATAAAATACCTCTGATGCTCTGAATTAAGACATCCAGGTGTGGCTTTTCTGTTAACTGCATGAGTGGGAAAAGCCCACAAAGTTAAGAGAAAATGTTTCTGACCTCCAGGTAAGTGTCCATGGCTGGGTGTTACGCAGGAACCTTCCCAATGCCCTCCCTGCAACAACAAGGCTTGTGACAACCTTTGACTTTGGCAGGAGAACAATTCCTCTCAGTGGAGGATTCTAACCATGGTGAACGGCACACTCACCACCAAACATATCCAGTATAAGAGAAGTCATGTTGGATCAGGCCAATGGCCTATTCAGTCCAACACTCTGTGTCACACAGTGGCCAAAACCCATGTGCCATCAGGAGGTCCACCAGCGAGGCCACACCCCAGAAGCCCTCCCATCAGATACAAAGGCAAGAGAGGCAAGTGGTTGGCGGTAAGGCTGAAGATTTTACGTGCAGAAGCTCAGGCCAGCCAAAAGCATATTATGTATGAGTTGCCTCAAAGATTTAAATGATGGAAAGATATAAGGCTGTGTCTGCTGCAAATGCAACAGCAACCACGGTAAAAACAACAACATCAGGAGCCAAGAAATGTTACAAAACAAATTTTATTCAACTCTAATGTTAAAATATTGCAAGCTAAATATTTACATGACCCCCTTATGGTGGGGAGTATAAAAGCAGGAGGCAGGCTATATACAGACATGAACAAGGAGAAAAATGCTTTGTATGTACATGGGAAAAATACTTCAGAAGTCATCTCACCAGAGGTTCATTGGCTCTTAACTCAAAACAGCTCCTCATAGTCTTGGAACTATTACGCTGGTGACGCTGGTAGGATATTTCCAAATAAGAGCTGGACTCAGGTGACACTTTTGTATTCTGTCTCCTCAGGAAGAAACAGGTTGACCCCCAAATCTGACAAAGCCCCTTCAGGCATAACAGAACCTGTGTGTCATGGATGGGCAGCCCTTCAGTATCTGAAACTTAACTGCAAAGTCCTGCCAACTCCAGACAAGACTTGACTGTAGTAAGTCCTACATAAGGGATGCGATGGAACGCTCCTGCATCATATCAATGAAGGCGCCAGGCTCTGGGGTAGAGTCATGGCTCAGGAGGGTCCATAGCTCAATGTCAGAACACAAATTAATTATAATTATCGTATGGCGTTGTATGTAGGATAGCCAGAAGGATCCTAAGATTGGCAGCCAGAAGTTCTAGCTCTTTTGCATTATGTGCCACTAGGTGATGAGCGAGACTTGTTTTTTAGGCAAGGGACATTTCAGAGGTGGTTTGCCATTGCCTTCCTCAGCATCACGGCCCTGGCATTCCTTGGAGGTCGCCCTTCAAATTCCTACCCACGGCCAACCCTGCTTCGCTTCCGAGATCTGATGAGATCGGGCTACTCTGGGCTATCCGGGTCAGGGCATCAGATTCAATCTCGCATGTCTATTAGGAATAACCGTTCTCTGCTTGAGGCTCTCTCAGACTAGACAATATGGAACTAGATGGACTCGAGTCTGACTGGGTAGAAGGCTGCTTCTTGCGTCCTCATAAGGAGTTTCAACAGAACCCTCCTGGTTACCAATCTTCACGTCAGTATAGGCCTACTAAATGAGTATATCTGAGTGGAAATCATATCACGATCACCCAAGACTTCTGTCTATCACAGTCAGTTGGAAGTGCTCATAATTATTGCTACAATCGATTTTGGCTCTCTCAGAGCCTGTGTAGTGTATGAGAAAGGAATTAAAACAAATCACCCATTTAAAATCTCTTCCTGTACAAAAGACAAGCTAAATGAGGTCTATAAAGTAAAACATCCGTATAAATATTAAATAGCTATGTCGTGTCTAGTATAAATCTAACGGTTTGTTTTTTCAAAAGCCTGAAAACCCCCTTTAAAAAAAGACACCATTTGTATGAAAGATGCGTTTCTAAAGTGGCAAGGGTTTCTCCAGAGCTTGTCTGCCACTGCAGTCCTACAATGAGGAAACGTCTCCTGTTAAATGAAGATGCCTGTATTTTGCAGAAGCAAACGAGATGGCAATATAGCTTGTTTGTGCTTGGGGGAGAAGTCAACATTGTCAGCAGCTGGTTTAGAGAATATTTCCAAAACTCACAAAGACCTGTTCCTGAAGTTCCCCTGACAGAAGCACCAAAAGGCTCCTGAAAGCCATGGGTGTGAGGAGAGAAGAGACCAGAGACCCATAGCCAGCTCCTGGGAAGCGTACATGGTACTTCTGTGCTGCCTGCACGTTTCCCCCCCCCACACAACTGCCAACTGATCGCCTGCCTGGAGGAAATGGGAGCCAGCCTTTCTGGAGGTAACTTACTTCCTTCCCACCCACTGACCCTCGTTCAAACTATTTCCCTCACACATTCACGCCTTGCCAAAAGCTGTCCCAAACACTCTGAAAACATAAATTGTGAGAGAGAACATGAGAGAAGCTGTAACAAAATGGCAAAGCATATGCTTTGCACCTTTATAAACTCTCCGGGTGAATCCCTGGCAGTTGGAGGGTCTCGGCGGAGCAGAACTGGTAAAAAAACCCTCTTGCACCTGAGTGCTACTCGCCTGCCAGGCTGGATGGGCCACTAGTCTCGCCTCAGAAATCATGCAAAGTGAACCATTTGCACATATATTTTCTTTTCACTGCCGATTTGGTTTCCCAAGCACAAAAGCAAACCTTGGGTTCGAGCCACTTAAACTCTAAGTAGCAGAAAAGCCAAGACCTTCCCTGGTGCCAGAGTTCTACATAATAGCACTTAGGTTACTCTCCATCTGTTGCACAGAGTCTTGATTGAACCCCTAAGCCATAATTCCCCAGCTCTTCCTTTCCCTGATTTGTTTCCCCGAATGACAAATGTAGACAATAGCAAGCAAACAAGCTAAAGACCACGTGAGCTACAATGCTAAAAACCTCCACAACGCTTCGTTCTTCATCTTTAACCTAACTTTCTAGGGAGACCAAAGACCTTTGTCTAATTTTTAACTTGAACTTCTCAGTGCTCCAAAACAGATGACAACAGTCACATCCTCACCTTATCAACGTTATTATATTTCCACCAGGTGTACCTCCTTAAGCCCACCTCTGGGGAAACTGACAAAGGATAGGTCTAGAGCAGTGTTCCCTCTAAGCTGAGTTAGGGTGAACTAGCTCACAGTTTTTTAGCCTCCGGCGCACACATTTTTGTCATAGCTCAGGAAGGATGGCTCCAGAGCAAACTAAGTTATGCAGCAGCCAAATTGCTTGCTCACAGTTTTAATGCCTGTAGCTCACAAAGTAGAATTTCTGCTCACAAGACTCTACAGCTTAGAGGGAGCATTGGTCTAGAGCCAGATACAAGAGCTAAGAATGGTGTCTCCATATGCAGAAGCAGCAGGTCTCTGATGACCAAGCAAAAGAAGACAGGCAACTTTTTCACACCCTGCTCTATGGCGTTTCCCAAAAGCATCTCTGACTGGCCAAAGTCGGGGACAGAATATTGGGACTAGAGTGACCATTAGAAAGATCCAGCAAGTTGGCCTTTGTTAAACATGTAAACACCTGAAAAGTTCTGTTGTGGGCAGACATGAAATTAAAAATCGCAAGTCACTATGGGGCAGGACTGTAGAAATATGATTTAACATTCACATGAAGTGTTACAGGAATGAAAAAAGGAGACTGGTGTCCAAAGAGCCAAAGGATTTTTTAATTCTCTTTCGGACAGCAAGATCACTTGCGTTACTCCCAAAATGTTGTGGGCCCTCTCCCCAGCTTCAGAGATAGCTTGCCAAGAGGATAGGTGTGTGAGAGACACAAGTCCGGCGTCCCCATGCTGGCCAATACTTTGTAAGCCTTTGTCTATGTTCTCCCTGCTTTCACCACAGTCCAGTGAGAAGTATGGAACAAAATATGGATTCCTAGGACTGATGCTACTACAAAACCGTTCACCTGGACATGGAGCCGCCGGAGAAGACAAACGGCCTTCGGAATGCCAATGGTTGTGACAGATGCCGCCACTGTTCACGTACCCTCTGACTCCGAGCTACAGGCCAACAATGGCTTCAAAACGCAACATTTGTCTGTGCAGTTCTCCTAAACCAGACTTCAGCTTGCTAGCCCCACTGCATCTGATGACTGTGGGAATCCAAGTCCTGTATACAACTGTAGTGCCAGAAGGCGGTGTGCTTGCTACAGGAGTGCTTAAACTTAAACACACACACACACACACACATACACACACTTCAGTTTCCTGAGAATCTCAGCCATTGTTTTAAAAAGTCAAGGGTTTTTTTAGTCCTTAGGGCTGTGAAAATACATTTAGAAATGTGTGGGTCACTCAGGAGCCAGGGGATTGCCAAGCGAGATTTCCAATTGTTGGGACACTGCTTCATGCCCCACAGAGCTCTATTTCCCTTCCCCGTCAACTGGCCAAACCGGGAAGGAACTATTCAAACTAAGCAGAACGAACCTTGGTGGCGGCTTCTTGGCTTCTATACAAACAATGAAGGCGCTCTAATCGGGGCCATTTATTGAACAGAGAATTCTTAAGGCTGGGGGGGGGGGGGGTATTCCATATCCTAGAACTCTATCATGATTTTTTAAAAATAAAGTTACAAACCGTGGTCCTAAATTAACCAAATGTAACCGAGAAACAGATGCACACCGCAGGCGCATTATCAAGTGTCCCTCACTGAAACTCAAGCAAAGGACCAATCTGGAAACAGCTCGCGTTATCATGTTCGCTTTACCGAAGGTCTCCTTGCTTCCAAAGTCTCCCGGAGATGCCCGGTGTCAGTACAGCTGCTGGAGGAAAACGAACTGAGGTTCTGAATACCCAGTGATGGCCGACCTCAGCAGTGTGTCCGAGGGGGGAGACTGGCTCTCAGTTATGGGCAGCAGCACCTGGTGGTCCTCCGACCCGATGGGGAGAGGCAACGCTATGTCGGAAGGCTTCACATCTGCGGATTCCAGCAGAGGGCTTCTCTCACTGGGGATGGAGTCCTGGTCGTTGAAGGAATGGTCGACCGTGATGGGATCCAGGGGGTTCTCGGAACCTGTGAAGACAGCGCCTAAAACGTTTTCATTCTTGAAAGCAAAGTTCTGCAGGGCACTAATGGCAGCAATAGGGGCTGCTTATATGCAGAGGTGGGAAAAGCTGCCTCTGCCATGCAAAAATGCAGTGAGCAGGACTGAGGCATGCAGGGATAGCATCCACACCACACCACACCACCCCTCCCTACCCCCTTCACAGTACACTGCTGCAGAAGTGCAAAAATAGTGCCAACCAGGGCTATTTTTGGGCAGGAACGCACAGGAACGGAGTTCCGGCTGGCTCCTGAGTTGGCCACTCCCAGCAGGAGTTCATTAGCATAACAGGCCACGCCCAACAGCAGAAACTCATTGGAATTGGCTACATTAGGGGTGTGTGGCCTAACATGCAAAGGAGTTCCTGCTACAAAACCCCCCCTGGGTTTTGACAACAAACAAGGTAAACAGAATAAGAAGCAAAAGGTGGGTGTGGCTGGATGACCACACTTCTGGTAACATGGGGGTATGGCCTAATATGCTAATGAGCTGTACTATCAGGGGTGTGGCCTAATATGTTAATGAGTTTCTGCTGTTGGGTATGGCTTATTATGCTAATGAGTTCCTGCTGGGCTTTTTTCTACAAAAAAAGCCCTGGTGCCAACTATCCGGCAAAGCAACGCCTCTCCCCCAACAGCTGAGCCTCAGATGAGCTTTTTTTTTTTTTTTTAAAGGTTCTGTTAGAGGTCTAAAGAGATGCCAGAGTTGTCACCATTCTGACTGTGGTGCTAAGCTCTGCCCACCTGATTGGATGCACAAGGGGGATTTGCGAACTGAGAAAACCTCTCAAAGCCCAACATTCACAATTCTGATCCAAGCACTCTGCCCCCTTGGGCCCCAGCCACGGGTTGAGCGGCTGAAGTATCAGGCTTCAGTTCTTTGCCAAACCTTCCCCCCCCCCCCCCCCCCATACTGTGCTGTTACAGCTGCTGTCAAAAACACCACAGATATGCATTTTTTAGATTTATGGTGCTGGGCCTAATTTTAACCTTTTCTGATTTCCGTCGGTGGCCGCTAGCATTTGTGCAAACACCAACAGAGATTCTAGGAGATCGCCGGACTTCTGGGATTTTAACACCCTCAGAGGATTGTGTTTTGAGGTCATACATGAAAAACCTTCGGCACTGTTTCAGATGGCTCTACACGTTTATAATACAATCACTGTAGGCTGCTAAGCTGGCAGAGTCGTAAAACAATTGCAATATTCCACACAAAGGTTAAGACAGAAGGTGGCCGTTTTGGTCACAAACCTTCTGGTAGAATAGGCCTGCACAGCTTGTTAACCCCTCAAGCCAAAGGTAGCCTTCTGGTAGGCTTACCAAACGCCGGCGGGGGAAATCTATTTCCTGGCAGGATGCGTGCCGCGGGGGACGGGTGTGTGCGCTCCCCCCGCCGTCGCCAGGATGTGACGCTCCGCGTTACTCTGGCAACGGGGCTGTTTGGGTCCCGTTGCCAGGGTAACGCGGAGCGTCACATCCTGGCGACGGCGGGTGCAGCGCGCACAGCCGTCCCCCGCGGCACGCATCCTGCCAGGAAATAGATTTCCCCCGCTGGCGTTTGGTAAGCCTACCTTCTGGCCAAATCAGGCGCCCAATAGGAACTCATGAAGTCTCTGGTTGTTTAGTCTGCCTAGGACTCTGAAACCAAAAGGTTTTATCAAGCCACCAGTGGTCGCCACAAACGGCAATGGAGCTCAGTGGGTTAAAAGTTGTCTGTATGGCTTTTTATTTGGGGGAATAAATTCACTACATGCAGAGTTAATTTGCAGCCATGGAATACCCTGGGGGTGGGAAAGGGAGTGGGGAGCTCTAAAATTCAGGGAGGAAAGGTCAGATATCCAACTAAAGCAGTATTCCTACAGCAGCATGTTGACCTCGAGGACACACTGTGAATTTGAACAATCCAAGCCCAAATAGTGCAGCTTCTACTTTACAAGGATGGGCTGAATTGTAAAGACAGGGAAAGTGTCAGCAGCCTCAAGACAACACAGGCCCCTGTCACACGGGCAGGAAACTGCAGAGGAGAAGTGTGGCTGTTTGCCCCGGGGCAAACTAACATGCAGTAAAGCGATCAGACCTACTGTGGAGGTTCTGTGGAGGTACTGTGGAGGTTCCATGGCAAGGGAGAGGTGCCGATCACAACACACGCCTGCGCGCAATGAAGAAGCGCGCGGCGCGGCGAACTGGTTTTCTTTTTTTGTGTACACTACGAATGCGCATGCTCCGTTGGGTGCGTGTGCGCATCCACGGAGACGTGGGGAAAAAAACCCAATTTTCCGCAAGGGGACATGGGCGGGCGCCGGATACCACCGGAAACGCGATCAGACGCCCGCCCTTGCCCCGCAGTTTCTGGAAACTAGTACCTCCAAGGTACTAGTTTTTTGCTGCGCTTTTTCGGCAGGAAGCCTCAGTTGTGCCACGGAAGCGCTACGCTTCCCAGATGTGCTGGTGAGATCGCGACCGGAAACTCCGCTTGTCTTCCGTATCTCTTGCGTGGCTAATGTTGCGTGTGACCGCAGCCACAGTGTACTTGGGAGAGACGGTGGCGGAGGCTGAAGGATGGCTGCAGCTCAAGAGCTTCCGTGTCTAATGACAAGGAGGACCTCCTGCTGTGTGTCGTTCCCCAGCAGTTCTAGAGTCCTTTTAACACGGCAGTGGTTTCACCTGGAAACTCATCAACAGAAAGAGAGAGACTCTGCTTGTAGCTGACATGCTGTTTCCCCTTTGAGTCAGAGCAAAGAAGGCTTTTCTTCACTTCGGCTTAAATGGGAAAGTCCCACGAGCTGTCCCAAGAGCACAGCATCACAGGGAAGCTCCCAAATAAAGTGGCGGCACGTGTGTGCCACCCAGGGGAAATCCCTGTGTCGAAACAGCCAAGGCATGTGTCCTTGAAGAAGAAGAGGAGATTGGATTTATACCCCGCCCTTTACTACCCAAAGGTGTCTCAGAGCGGCTCACAAACTCCTTTCCCTTCCCCTCCCCACAACAGACACCCTGTGAGCAGTGTTCCCTCTAAGCTGAGTTAGTGTGAGCTAGCTCAGTTTTTTAGCCTCCAGCTCACCCATTTTTGTCTCCACTCAGGAAGGAGGGCTCCAGAGCAAAATAATTTATGCAGCAGCCAAACTGCTCGCTCACCAGTTTAATGCCAGAAGCTCACACTGTGGAATTTTTGCTCACAAGACTCCACAGCTTAGAGGGAACATTGCCTGTGAGGTAGGCGGGGCTCAGAGAGCTCTTGACAGAAACTGCTCTTTTTCAAGAACAGCTGTGCCAGAGTTATGGCTTGCCCAAGGCCATCCAGCCAGGTGCAAGTGGAGGAGTGGGGAATCAAACCCGGTTCTCCCAGATTAGAGTCCGCACACTTAACCACTACACCAAACTGGCTCTGTGAAGAGAAGGAGACACTGAGGATTTTCTCTAAAGACATTCCCCACAATCACTGGCATTTGAACCTTTGTTACAGGTTATTATAAACCTGAAACAGCAATTGAAACGGTCACTGATTTACGGATGCATATTTCAGATTGTGCGCTGATTTACCAGTTTTGTTCAAATCAGTCGTGAATTTTCAGACTGGGCATCTACAAAGACTGACATCCTTAAGCCTTTCTCCAATACTTCACTAACATGCAAGGTAAACACTTTGGGGCATGTGTAAAGAGAGCCTCCAAATCGCAGCTGACTTATGGCGACCTTGTTGGCGTTCCAAGGCAAGAGAGGTTCAGAGGTGGCTTTGCCACTGCCTGCCTCTGTGGAACAGTCCTTCCCTTCCTTGGCGGCCTCCCATCCGAGTACTAGCCTGGGCCACCCAGGTCAGGACAACACTCTTGGGAAAGGTCTGCAATTCACACACGGGCAGGGCAGTCTACGTGGGGCTGGATGAACAGCGGTGCAGGCAGGGGCAGTTGTGCAGTAGCATCTGTCCCATAATAGGGCTTGCACAAAGTTAACTTGTGAATGACTCGGCCTCCGGAAAGGAGGCTAAACAGATGGCCTTTTGGTCCATGTCTCTACAAATACTAGATTTTTAAGAAATCAGCACTTACCTGCATGAACCTTTGATTTGTGCTTCTTTAGGTTCTTTATATCTGTGTAGGAATTTCCACACAGCTCACAGATAAATGGTCTCTCACCTATGAAAATAAATAACTAGTTAGGCTGCATTGGATGCAACTTAATCGCCCAACTGGAAGAATTTCTTACAATCTTTTTATGCCAAAATGCTGGGCTAATTTAGCATGAGGTGTTCCATAAACTAAATTAAGATCCAGTCAGCTGCCAGCTGGGGCCCCGGTCACACGGGCCGGATCCCCCGGGGGGGGGGGAGGCGTGGCTAATTGCCCCAGCCCAGTTTGATCTGCGATTACGCGATCAGAGGTGCCGGCGGCACACCACGGGTCCTTCCCTCTGCGCCGGTGGGTAAACGAGGGACCGGAGGGGAATGCTGCGCGCCGGCACGATCACACTACGGGAGTCTGGAGGCAACCCGTGGCAAACGTTTACTAGTACTTTGGAGGTACTACTTTTTTAACGTGCATTTTTGGCGGTAAGCCACGGGTGTGCTCCACTTCCCAGATGTTGGGGTGTGATCGCGCCTGGATAATCCGCCCACCATCCGTGCCTCTCCCGCTGCAACTTTGCCGTGTGACTAGGAATGTTTTAAAAAAAAAAATCCTGCCCTTCCTCCAAACAATTCAGGGCAGCATCAATGGTTTTCCCCTCCTCCATTTTACCCTCACAAGACCATCATCAGTGCTTAGTTCTCGTGGCCCTTTCTGACAACGCCCAGGGAAATGCCAATTGCAACTTTGGGGTCAGGAAGCAATTTTTTTTTCAGGCTAGTTTGGCTGGGGATCCTGGAGAGGGTTTTTTTGCCATCTTCTGGACATGGAACAGGGGTCAGTACGGTGTGGGGGGTAGTTGTTGTGAATATCCTGCACTGCGCAGGGGGTTGGACTAGATGACCCTGGAGGTCCCTTCCAACTCTATGATTCTATGACCCCTGTGAGGTAGGTTAGACAGAGAGAGTGACTGGCCTGAAGGCCCCCCCCCCAACCCGGTGAGCTTCATGACTGAGTGGGGTTTTAAGCCCAGGTTTCTCTTGTTCATCACTCTAACCACCACACTAGCAAAGCAAAACAAAACTGTGAATGCAATAGGATTGTTAAATCCATTTGTACCCTGCCTCTCTCCCCGATGGAGACCCAAAGTGGCTTACATCAGTCTCCTCCCGTCCATTTTACCCTCACAACAGCCCTGCCAGGTAGGCTAGGCTGAGACTGTGAGACTGGCCCAAGATCACTCCGGTGGATTCCAGGGCAGAGTGGGGATTTGAACCTGGGTCTCCCAGATACCAGGCCAGCACTCTTAACCACTATGCCACACTGGCTCTCGTATCACACATTCGCTGGTGGGCATTAAATGAGTTTGAGTACTCGCATATTAAGTGGGAAGGTGGAAGTAGCACCCAGGAAGGTATGGATGTGAAAACTGACCTGTATGGGATCGAAAGTGTTTGCTCAGTTCCCCTGAAGAAATGAAGCTTTTCCCACAAATGCCACATATGTATGGTTTCTCCCCTAGAGAGAGAGAGAGAGGGAGAGAGAGAGAGAGAAAGGAGTTAATTTTTGCACAAGCTATAGGACAAAAGCATGTGAAGAACTCTCCAGATTACACACACAGACAGACTTCAGTTTCCCTACTAGAAGTCGTTGGAGGAAGAAGAAGAAGAGAAGAAGAGATTGTATTTATCCCCCGCCCTTCACTACCCAAAGGTGTCTCAGAGCGGCTTACACACTCCTTTCCCTTCCCCTCCCCACAACAGCCACTCTGTGAGGTAGGTGGGGCTGAGAGAGCTCTTGACAGAAACTGCTCTTTTACAAGAACAGCTCTTATCAGAGCTACGACTTGGCCAAGGTCATCCAGCCAGGTGCAAGTGGAGGAGTGGGGAATCAAACCCGGTTTTCCCAGATTAGAGTCTGCGCACTTAACCACTATATCAAACTGGCTCCACACCATATACATCTCCCCTGCTCTCTTCTACAGACACACACACACACAGAGTGAGGCAGGCTGCCTGGTTCCTTTTGGACATACAGAGCAGCCTCATGTTCACCATCAGCCTTATGGTCTATCTAGCCCAGCAGGATCTACTCAAACTAGCAGCAACTCCCCAGGGTCCTTCCAATGGAAATTCCAAGGCTCTCATACATACAAAACATGCATTCTGCCACTGACCTATTCTGTTGAGCTTAAGACCATAAGAACATAAAGAACAACTGTGCTGGACAAAACCAATGGTCCACTGGTCCTCTTGCACACAGTGGCCAACCAGGTGTCACTGGAAGGCCACACTGTTGACCCCTGTGCTAGTATACAGGGCATTAATACCTTAACACAGGGAATCTTCATCTAGTCACCGTGACTCACAGCCATTGATGGACCTGTCCTCCATAAATTTGTGCTGTTTTCTTTTAAAACCAACTAAATTAGAGGCTATCGCTACATCATGTGGCAGTGGATCACACAAGTTAATTGGTGAGTGAAGAATTCGCTCTCCTCTTATAATCTATTTCTCAGCAGTCTAAGAAAGCACAACCCTCCTAAGCTTTGTGAGACAGATGATATGGCTATAAAGACCATGCAGCTCCCAGCCCTGCTTTGGAGACTCTGTGCGATCCCTTCCAGCTCCCTGGATGCTCAGTGGAACCATCCAGTATCTCTCCCTGCTCAATTGCTTAAGAATCACCTGTGTGCTTCCTCGAATGCGTGATGAGTGAACTGGAGACTGCAAAGGCTTTCCCGCAGGTGTCGCAAACATAAGGCTTCTCTCCCGTGTGTCGCCGCACGTGATAGGTCAGGGTGCTCGCCTGGGCAAACCGCTGACCGCATCTATCGCAGACGTATGGCTTCTCCCCACTGTGCTTCCTAAGTGGAAGAAACTGGTTAAATTCCGCCGATGCGCCAGCCATTTCCCCGCACAACAACATCCTTAACAGGATGAGCCCGTTTCAGGCAGTGCCCTTTCACTCACCTAGCGTGGATCTTCAGGTTGCTTGAGGTGGCAAACTGGAGGTTGCAGGCATCGCACTTGTACGGTTTCTCCTCTCCGTGATGCATCCGGCTGTGGAAAACCAGTTGGCATTTCTGAGCGAAGCCTTTGTCACAGAGTTCACATTTATATGGCTTTTCACCTACGGAGAGAATAAGGCTGCTTATTTTAGCCAGGCCATGTGAAGGACACTAAAATACAGGATGTTAGAATACACGGAAAACATGTTGAAGGTGACCCAGACAACAAGATAGATTATCACCAGCAACCAGCTTTTCCGCTGAGTCTCGCCTGACTCCCTTCCCCAGTGCAGCTCCCACACCCGGCTTTTGTTTATAGGAGTCCCACAATCTACAGCACAGCCTTTTTGGCGATCAAAAGAGGCCCTCTGCCATTGGAAAAGTTGGTAGGATCCAATCCGCTCTGTCTAAATCCAAGTCATTACACTCCATGTTGAATTCAGAAGAAGAAAAGATTGGATTTATACCCCACCCTTCACTCGGAGTCTCAGAGCGGCTTACAATCTCCTTCCCTTCCTCTCCCCACAACAGACACCCTGTGAGGTAGGTGGGGCTGAGAGAGCTCTGAGAACTGCCCTTGAGAGAATGGCTCTGAGAGGACTGTGGCTTGCTCAAGATCACCCAGCAGCTGTATGCAGAGGAGTGAGGAATCAAACCCAGTTCTCCTAGATTAGAGTCCGTGCTCCTAACCACTATACCAGACTGGCTCCCATTTACCCAAGGATCCTAAAGGCTAGGATTTTGGCTAGGAAGATTTCAAGAACTCAGACATAGGTCATGAACACTGCAAAGCAAATTAACCACCCTTTTCTGAAGAGATACACAGGGACTTTATAGGTGTTTTTTGGACATAAACAAAGAGTTTGTTTGGGGGGGAACGTACTAGAACAAAGCAGTTAACTGTGAGCAGCTAGAGGATTAACAGTGATCACTGACAGCGTGTTCTCATTTAAAAAACACCACCACCAAGCTGACCTCAGTTGTTTTAGAAAACTAGTCACCTTGCACATGAGGAATGTACTGGAAAGACCACACCCAGAATTCATCCCAGATACCACAACACAAGATGGCTGTTGACCAAATGGCAAGTTCTGTGAGCACTGGAACAAGGCATGAGATGGTGAAAGGAGATCACACAAAGAATGGCTCCCAAAACTTATGAAAAGGATGAAAAAGGTAAAAGGGAGGGGATATGGTTTCATCTTCAAATATTTAATTCCAAACAAAGAAGTTAAACAACAGTTCATCAAGTCTACTAAGGGCAGAAGTTGACAAAAAAAAGACCCAAGTCAGTCTGAGGAAGAAGATTTTGGTGGAATATAGGGGAAATATCCCGTAGGAGCAGGGCATTTAAGCAATGGAGGGTGCAATACCTCCGTCACTGGAGCTTTTCAATGTGGACAGGTTTATGAAATCGAATTCCACCTGCAGCAGCCTTTCTTTTAGCAGAGCTCAGACTAGTCAGTTCATTAGACTCCATCTTTATGAAATTCTTCAGTCTGATATGTTCCTTCCTGTTACATTTTGATCCCATATTGCCTACTTCAGACAGTCCATACAACTCTAGTTGCCTGAACTCACTATCTGAGGCAACAAAAAATTAAGAGCAATATTATTTGGCTCAGGGGCCCCCCAACATGATACCCGCTGGCACCTTTTCCGGCACCCACCAAGTGTTTTTGGGAAGTGGGCAAGGTCCACGTAGGGCTTCTGTCCAGCAAGGTTTCCGACTGACTATTGGAGACTTGATTGGCTGTGCAGATTTCTTTAAATGTTGCTTTGGCAGCCGCTGCCACCACAGCACTACACTGTGCTACTGAAATTAAGCTGCGGTGGCCATTTTGTGGCTGGCTCTGCCTCCTGCAGCAGCCGTTTTGTGGCAGCCATTTTGTTGCTGCACCCACCGTACCGTGTTAGAATTCCAAATGTATTCACAGGCTCAAAAAGGTCGGGGACCCCTGATTTACCTATTATCTCTAAAAACAAAAACTAGGTCTAGTTATTTCCATTAGTTATGTCAATTCCTGCATGCTAACAAACCCTGAGAGCTTTTGACAGGGGCAAGATTCGAACCGGCAGTTTTGGGGATCATCATTCAGCCTGTTGAGATTCTGTGACTACAGGAGTTAATTTTCAGACAGCGGAATATGTTACCCAGCCATTGTTAAACACATCTGTTACCCTAGAGATCACTGTAACTAGATAAGGCATGTGTGGATACTCTTCGTCAATGTAATGGTGGAATAGTTCCGGGGATCACTCACAATCCTGCTCCATGCAGTCAGCGGCAAGTACCAACCCACAAAACTACGGGACCCAAAGGATCAGAGTGAATGGAAGTTTCCTGCTCGAATTCACAAGAGGCAACCCCCTCCCCACCCCCAATCCGAACCACAGAACCTACCTGTGTGAGTTCTTACATGCGTTTTCAGCTGATTGCACTGAGTAAAGGCCTTCCCGCAGAGCTGGCACACATACGGCTTGACTCCTTTGTGGATCCTCATGTGCCGTCTCAGACTGCTGGCTTCAGAAAACACCTTCCCACAGGTGTTGCACACCGGCTTTGCCTTGGGGTGTTTCGGATCCAGTTCCTCTCCCAAGCTCTCCAACTGGTAAGAGTTGTTGTCGTTGGAGATATTGGACAAGCAGTGCTCTTTCAGCGCACAGTCCTGCTGTGCCTTTCCCCGTTTGGGTTTCATGGGCATAGTCTGGATGAGGATCTCCTGGGCGAGGATCTCCTGGGCAGTAAGAGTCTCGCTTTCCACCACAGGCGTCAGCTGCAGCTCAGAGTTCTCCCCGCCCTGGGCGGCTTGCTCCGTTATCTCGGTGGCCAGTTTATTTGCATCGAAGAACATCTCCCCCGAAGAGTCCTCGATGACATCGCTTGGATACTGCGCCGACTTGTCCAGCAGGTTTTTCTGAGCGCTGAAGGCTGTCTTCCGCTTTTTGCCTTGAGCGGGTTTCTTTTCTGGGGTTGCTTTTGCAGCTGGGGGCAGAATGGCATCTGCCAAAGGGGCGTCGGATTTCTCCTGGTTATTGTAGTCACGAAGGGTGAGCAGGCAAGTCTGCTGGTTCAGCGCAATGTTCCCAGTGATACTAGAGGTTTCTGTAGAAGAGGGATTGGCAATGAAAGCAAAGTCTTCCATCTTTATTTTACACTTAGTGACAACCTCCTCCACTCTGAGATAGTCGGCGGCCTGGTGAATATCTTTAACATTCCAGCTGCAAAGGAAAAAGGTTAATCGGCAAAGTGTGCCTGGTGAAGAAGACAAAAATGCCCGAAGAATCAGTATAAATATGCACACTGGATAAAAACAGATGCTTAAATATTTTTTTTAATTAAAACAGACTGCTTTTTAAATTCACACCAGGATTTCTTTAATTGCCGCTTGAAAATAGCCTAGCCTTAAACAGAAGCTAGATGTAACACAATCATGTTACATTTTTTGCCTCTTTTCGATGTACAACGGAAGGGAAATGGCAAAACCAAGGTTCAGATCTTTGCTTGGCAATGAAGCTCAAAAAATGTGGGGAAGTCACTGGCTCAGTTCAGATGCGAAACCAGCTTTAATTGAACTGACTATGGTTAGTGAGATCGTCTGAATACAGGTCACTCCACTAATTATGGATAGGTAGGATCCATTTAGGATCCGGAGCCGGAGGCTAAAAAACTGTGAGCTAGCTCACACTAACTCAGCTTAGAGGGAACACTGACCACAAGCGGCCTTAACTATGGCTTCATGTGATGTCTCAATGCAGACATTCTGGCTTATTCTCTGTGGATGCCCTCCCATGCTACAGAGAGAGGTAAAGAGAAATGAACCCAACATTTGTTAAGGCAAATCAGATTTGAGGGCTTGTGAACAGAATCTTGGTTTCACAAACTAACCAGAGTTAAAATAAACCGTGTTTTTTGCACAATGTCTGAACCAACCACTATTTCACAGGCATCTTGCAGGCACTGACACATGGAAGCCACTTTTCTGGATGCAGTCCTACATAGCTGGGGACTGTATGAATACAACATGGCCATAAGGATGGGACTGATTGCATGGGGCGCTCTCGTGAAACTGGCACTCCGTATTTATCTTGTACATGTGGGGACACACAAGACCTTGTGGAAGGCATCTCATTTTCCTCTCTCCCACTGTTTTTGTCTTTTCTTTCCCCAAAAGCTTCCATTAAATCTCCCCTTCTCTTGCCTTGGTCTCTCCTTCCCACCCACCAGTCAACCTACCTTTACCTCCCCCTCCACAGCATCTTCAGTTTTCCCTCCTTCCCTACCTTTGGCAGCATCTCCCTGGGAAAAGTGTGGCTGAATTGCACAGTGACGGACCCAACCTGCAACTCCCACAGGCCTGCAGAAAAATGGATGTGGAACCCCTACTCTGCCCTAATCCTCTTTTTTCTGTCTCTTGCAAGGAAACACATCCATTTTTTTAAAAAAACACACACTTTAAAAAATTCAGTTGACCAAAGATATCCTTTACCATTTAAACTCAAACACCAGGGAATGAAGAAGCAGGAAGAATCAGTCCCTTTACACCATTCCTGAGGCAAGAGAAGTCTGGAGTGAACCACTGCTTCTTTAAATACTCACTGGCAGAGTATTTGTCTTCTGTTTATGTGATATTAAAATACCTGGCTGATGTCCAGCTACTCTTAAGATGAGCCCTGTCGGATCAAACAAAACAGTCACCTAATCCAGCCTTCCATATCTTATGGCGGCCAATTAGATGCTTCAGGAAGGCCCACTGTCAGCCCTCAGACACTGGCAGTGGTATACTAGCTCTCACAGTGGAAGATTCATTTACCTACCACAACTGACCATGGAAAAAATAGACTGGGCTATATCCAACTGTCAGGCACCATTCAACATTATCTTGTGTATTCTAATTTCCCTTTCGGTGTCCCCTGCCCTTTCGGTGTCATCCATGAACACATGTGAAGCTACCTCATAGGGAAGTGATGGCGAACCTTTTAGAGACCGAGTGCCCAAACTGCGACCCAAAACCCACATTTATCGCAAAGTGCCAACATGGCAATTTAACCTGAATACTGAGGTTTTACTTTAGAAAAAACAACTCATACATTAACTTAAGATGATCCAAACAAAGTAAGGAAAGCAATCCCAAATGCTTTCATTTACTTAAAATTATTTGGCAGAGAATTCGACACTTTAATGATGGTTTGGGCCTGGCTGGGGCGATGTCACGCGTGCCCACCCGTGTCATAGGTTCGCCACCACTGTCATAGGGAATCAGACTGTTGATCCATCAAGTTCAGTACTGTCTAATCAGACTGGCAGCTGCTCCCCAGGGTCTCAGGCTGAGGTCTTCCATGTCGCCTACTACCTGATCCTTTTAGCTAGAGATGCTGGAGATTGAACCAGGGACCTTCTGCGTGCTAAGCAGACACTCTACCACTGAGCCACAGCCCTTCCCTTAACAATGGGCCTTCCCTTTACCTTCAAGCTTTCAAAGAGGGCCTGTCTTTTTAATTCTTTGTGCTGAATTAATTCTGAGTGCTAAACACACACATACCCAACCCCGTTAATATTACCTGTCAAGGTTTAAATTTCCTGTATATATGAACTCCAGAAGTTTCTGAAATCCATCGGCTTTCACTTGATTCTGATCCAAAACTACGTTACTGTCTGACGTGTCCTTGTAAAAAGCCCCAAAGTACTCACTGAAGGAAGCCAGCACATTTCGATGAGCTTTGAACTGAAATTCACCAATAACGATGGTGCAGTCACACAGGAAACCTGCCTCTCGCTGTTTGTTCAGCCTTTCCAGGAGATGCTCACAGTGGTGTGAATACTGCATTTTGGGGAATCAGGACTTCTTTGGTCTGAGAAGACAAAGGAACACTTTTAGTGGCAGGGCACCAGACTTTGTGCAGAATATCGAAGTAACCACAGTCCCTGCCCAGTACCCAAAGGGCTTATGCTCTAAACTAGTAGGACAAAAGTGAGATCATAACATAAGAAGGAGGTTTAACTACTACATAGCTAAGCATGGATTTTTATTGGCCAAAACAAGACTTAATGGCAAAACAGGTTTTTAAGGAGCTGTTTACTTGTGCCACCAATCATAGAGACGGCTATTAGTATAAGCACACTTTTCAGGTGCCACTGGACTGTTTAGCTTGTGGTATAAACTGCTTTTCAGCAAGATTTAAACGCACAGGGAGTGAAGTCTATAGCTAGTGATAGCTTTGGGGCAGCAGACCCAGAGAAGTAAATTCCTCAACATTTTAGTCCTCAGAAACATCTGCATAAGAAAGAATACCCCATCCTAATGTAGACTGTTACAAAGAGCAATTTCACAAGTGAACTTGACTGAAAAATCTATGCAAGCATGGATTCACTGCTGAGAATAAAATAGGTTGTGTTGTTTACTCCATTCTACTGTTATTAAAAGTTAACATCAAAACAGTTCAGTTATACGAACTGTTAAATAAAAAGCATCTAACTCTGAACCTTTTCTGCTATCAAAAGTATTGTAAAAGACTGCCTGTTTGAATTTATAACCCCACTTTTTCTCTTTGAATAGATGTTTGTATATATATATTGGAAAAAGTTAATAAAATTTCTATTAAAAAAAAGTATGGATTCACTGCATTCAAACCAAATTCAAACCTGAATGCAAATTACATGTTATTTCTTTCCATATGGAACCTCCGTAAAATATGAAAGAGATCAACATTCACCACCCTCCATGTATTTGAACAAGGGGTTTACCAATGTTTCAGCAGTACAATATGACTAATTATGGACACTTTATAGACCACTGTCCTAGCTATATCCTCCAAGCACCAGAAGCAACAATCATACCAAAGCGCACAGAATCAGTTATACTAATAATGGAAGAGCAAGTGAAGACTCTTTTATCATGCTATAATTTATTTCCTCCATTTTAAGCCTTTGAAATCAGCCTCCTAAATGAGTAAAGAAGGCAGATGTCAAAACGGGTTTGTGTCAAAAGGTAACTGGGCCTTGTCTTTAGACCAAGGGATCGGGAAGTTTGTCTCTTCATCCACTGCAGTTCCAGTTACACCACTGCCCCTTTATCCACATTCCCCAGGGATTCCTGAAATACTACTCACAGGTTTTGGGACAGCTGTTAACTTCCAACACACTTGGGCCTACTCAGTCCAGCCAAGGGACACACACAAGGCCTGCTGTCCCACACCTAGATAACTTCAGCCACCCTGTCGTTTCATACGTCAGACCTTCTGCTGATCCACAGGAGGAAACTTGGTCCAACCTTTGTAGCATCTCCGGTCTCATCCCTGCCCTCTTCTCTCCACCCGGCCTCCCTGCAGTATTACACTGGAACCATTTGCTGCCAGACCAATCCCTTAAACCGATCTTAATCGGAAGGAGATCCTTCAGGTATGCGCAGGGCTTGCCGCCCAATACACCTTGCAATAGCATGCATACGTGCAGCCCGTAGAAACGCGTGTTTCCCCAAAGTCTCGGCTGCTTCTAAAGAGCGTTCATGCTATTTAGAGAGAACCTTATATGCAAATCACCCAGTCCGGGGAAAAGGGACGACCTTCGTCCTCGTCCCCCATTACCCTCTTCACAACTAGCGGGTCAGCCTTCCCTCCCACACACATACGCCGCTTCACTCGCCCTCTCGGACCCGTCAGTCCCTCCCTCCCTCTTCCATAACAGTTTCTATCCCGTCTACTTTGAGGTCTCCACCGCATCAGCCATCCCCCCACAGTCCAAGTGGTCGCGTCCAACCACAGTCCGCGGCCCGAATCAGAAATTAGTGGGTAAACACACCTGGAAGGGGCGGGGGGGGGGAGATGAATGAGGGACACGGGACCTTGAGCACCTCAAGTCGCCATTTTATGATGACGCGGCCTGCGGGGTCCTCGGAGGGTGGAGTTGGTGGTTCAAGTCTCACTTCCGTTCCCAATCGACTCTGGCAACGAAAGGGTGGTGGGAGGAGTTGGTTCGACGGGGGAGGAGGGAGAGCGGAGTGGGCGCTCCGGGAGAGACAGGGAAACTATGATTCCCATGATTCCTAGCGCCGCAGAGCGTGGTGATATGATGAGGAAATGATGCGTCTTGGATGCACGCTGCGTTTAACCAATTCATTGCCAGGCAAAAATTGAAATTTATGGGCGGCCGAAAGTAGTGTCTTGAAGGTTTTCTTTGGGTTTTATCGCAAAGAACATTGGACAAAACCGGGGTAGGAGAGGTGGGAATAAAGGGAACTTCAATAAAATGTCGCATTAAAAAAATTCCCAACGTTTGGAAACTTCATTTCATTATTACTCTTAAACTACAGCAATCCTCTGTACAATGCAAAAAAAAAAAAAAAGTGCGTCTAACAACTTGCCTTCTATAATACAATCATATTAAGGAGATGTACACCGCCATCCTAAACAGAGTTACTCCGTTCTAAGCACGTGTCTTCGATGGATTTAGGAAGTGTGTAAATCTGTTTAGGATGGTACGGTGAGTCCGTCCGTGTTCAGTAATCCTTTTCCGTGTGATTTCATCGAAAAGCACATCAGCACATTTTCTTTTCCTCAGTATTAGGAGACCTGTAATTAAATGTAGAAAAATGAGATATGTATCTAATTTTTGAAATAATTTTTTAGAAAACCCTAACACAGGTAGGATTAAAAATGTTTCCGCCCGGTTTCGAACCGGGGACCTTTCGCGTGTTAGGCGAACGTGATAACCACTACACTACGGAAACTGACATGCAACCAGCTCTCAAACTATCATACATAAAGCTTTCAATCGTGGATGTTTTACTGCTGCCCTTCTTATTCACAGACAGTCGTTCTTTTGGTCTTTATGCGGTATTAATCAATCAGTCTTTCTTTGCCCTAACAAACCAGCCTGAAATAACTGGCATTGCACTTGCAGTCATATTCGCTTGCAATACTTCGTCCACTACGAAGCGTTCAGCCTGCCTCTTTATTCTCCATGTTGATATGTAATATTTTACTATTGCTTGTTTAATGGTTGCCTTGTGGGGCACCTCGAGAGTTTTACGAGGAGAGGGGCGGGTCAAAAATATTATTAACAACTGCTGCCTAACCAGGGGTCTTGTTGTAGAAAAAGAGCTGCCGGAGCTCATTAGCATAACTCATTAGCATAACTTATTTGCATATGCCACGCCCCCTGACATCACCGGAAGTGACAGAAGGCCACACCCCCTGACATCACCGGAAGTGTGTCAGAAGGCCCGGCTACTTACCCTCCTGCTTCATCCTCATTCCCAAACGGAATGAGGATCGAAGCAGAGGGCGGGGTAAAGAAGGGGGCGGGGCTTCACCACGTGACCGCTCCGCCCCCTAGAGGTTCTCTTCCGGAGCTCCGTACCTGAGAGCTCCCCCCCGACTAGAGCCCTGTGCCTAACTAAACAAAAGAAAGCATCAGAACAAAGTTTGAGTCCAGAGGCACCTTTGAGACCAACAGACGCTCATGGGCATGCACGACTTCCTCAGATATAGTGAAACAGAGGTCGCCAACATACACGGCTGCCCATCTGAATCTAAACGAAAGCATTATTCGTTAATCTGTTATTTCCCGGCTTTACAGTCGGATAGAAGGAGACTATTGGATGTTCTTGATATCTCCCCTCATTCTTTTCTGCTCTCCTCTGGCGGCCTTGGAGATTGCAGGACTGCGTATCTACTCCTGCGGCCATTCTGAGCCCGCGAGCAGTCTGAAGAGCTCCCTGCAGCTGGGAAACTAAGCCCGGTCGGCCCAGCTGGCACATGGATGGGAAAACCCCCTAAGAAGAGGGGGGTTGCTATGTGGAGAAAGGCGATGGCAAACGACCTCTGCCCACCTCCTGCCTTGGACGCCTCATGCAGGAGGTTGCCAAAGGTCACAGTGGCACTTTCTTTTTCTTTGAATTCCACAACATGAAATATTGACCTGCACTCTTTTTTGCTATCCTCCTCACAGAACAGTAAATAGCAAAAATTACATATTCTTGCAACCAGTTCTCTAAGGAGCTCAGCAGCATGTGTGGTCCTTTCCTCCATCTTATCCTCGGAACATCCTTGTCAGGAGAGCTCAATAGGGCTGCCAACCTCCAGGTGGTGGCTGGAGAGATCCCGTAATTACAAATGATCTCTCCAGGCTATGGAGATCAGTTCCCCTGGAGAAAAATGACTGCTTTGCTATTATACCCTGCTGAGGTCCCTCCCAAACCCTGCCCTCCAAATCTCCAGGAATCTTCCATCCCAGACCTGTCAAACCTACTTGAGACGGTGACTGGCCCAAGGTTGCATAGTAAGCTTTGGGGACCAATGAGAATGTGAATATCTCCCATTATATTTTGACATTACTACTACTACTACTTTATACATGGTGAAACCAACAACTACATCATTTGCAAATGATCCTGAAAGCATATATTAGTAAACCTTGTGAGGTTAGCCCCTTGATAGTTCCAGAGATAGGACTCTTTTTTGTTGAGGGTTGGTGTGTGAAACCCCTGATCTACACTATTTAGCATAAAATATTCACTCAACATTCATAGGTAACATATAGTCTCATATCCATTTACTTTATTTTGCTTAATTTATTCCATTATACCTTTTTCCACAATAGCCAATTATATTTATGCTCACCTACCAGATAAGAGATTGGAATATAACCATATTTTTGCTGTATTAATTGCAGTATAAATTGGTGCTCGGGAGGCAACAGTGAGAGGGCTTCTGGCGTTCTGGCCCCGCTGGTGGCCCTGCTGATGGCACCTGGGTTTTGGCCACTCTGTGGCACAGAGTGTTGGACTGGATTGGCCGTTGGCTTGATCCAGCATGGCTTCTCTTATGT